CAAAATTTTATAAAAATTTGACACAGAGACATCAATATTACCGTCACTCAAATTAGATTCCCAGTCTATTTGCGAAAGATTTATATTTATTGCCTTATAATCAGCATCTCTATACAACTTGACTGTGTGAGCCCGAGTCTTGAGTAGTTTCTCATGTGATTTTAAAATCGTAAACTCAAAAGCTGGATGGTGTGAATCCTCTGAAACTATTGGAGCAGTTACCGAACTGACTTTGCAATTGATATTGGTTATTAAGAGATCCAAAATACGATTATTAAAATTTTTAAATATATTATACTGATTAAAATTATTAAAAGAAAGAAAATTAGCAAGTTCATTAACTGTATCCGATGAAAAGTCTCCATGTAAGGTCACATCAGCATTACAATTCTTTGACCAGAAAGCGTTAGGTATGTTAAAATCTCCTAATATAATGAAGTAGTCATCAGGGTAAGAGAGAACTTCATCAGAGATATGTTCGTAAAAGTTTGATAACACATCTTTGTGAATTCGACATTGTGGGAAATAACAACAGTATATGTTGCAACGTGTATGTCGTTCGAATGAAATAGAAACACGAATTACGTCAGCAGCTGAATTTGTTGACGGGATGCATTCAACGTTGGTAACTTGTAGCTTACGACTCATTGCAATCAGAACTCCTCCACCCATTGTATCACCTCTGATTGTATAGTTACGATCGCTTCTATATACGTAATACCGTGCATCAAATAGTTCTAAGTCGAATATACCCGAATGTAACCAAGTTTCAGTGAAACAGATTATATCATACTCATGACATAAGACGTTTCTGAAAAGCAAGTCAGTCTTAGTCCGTAGACCCCGAACGTTTTGATAATAAATAACTATCTAACGAGAAGACGTGTCGTAGTTTCCCGAACGCTGCCCAGCCGAGTTGAATCCGTCAATTGACCTCTCGGTCGAAGTTGGACTTACCTAGTCGGACTATTTGTCCCAGGTAAACATACTCGTCAACAACTTCGAGCTTAGTGCTCCCAACAACTACCGGCATAGGTGTGACATGGACGTTAAACATGATTTTTGTTTTGTCCATGTTGATCTTAAGACCTATCCGTTGGGAAGCACTATTGAGGTCATTGAGCATAATGCTTAGGTCCTCCAGCGATTCTGCCATAAGGACTATATCGTCGGCAAATCGAAGTTGAGTGATGTACTCGCCATTGATGTTAATACCGCATCCTTTCCAGTCCAGTAGCTTGAAAACGTCTTCCAATGCAGAGGTGAAGAGTTTCGGGGATATAACGTCACCCTGTCTTACACCTCTCTGCAGTTGGATAGGTTTCGTACTCTGGTTCTGTACTCGGATAGCAACTGTACTAACACTTCAGCACTTCGATATACCAACAGTCAACTTGGCACCACTGAAGGGACTGCAGTACCGCCAAAATCATGTTTAACGCTCCAAGCCTCCGGTGTAATGCCACCATGGAGGACGGAATTAAAGAGCTTCTGAAGGACTTCAAGTACCGGTTTTCCACCCGCTTTCAGAAGCTCCGCTGTAATTCCATCCTCGCCTGGGGCCTTGCTGTTTTTAAGGAGCTGGAGAACCATTCTAATCTCGCTCAGACTGACGTCCGGGATATCTTCGGAATAGTGTCGGATAAGACTCGCTCTTGGATTGTTACTCATACTTGCGTGTGGCTCCAACGATGACGTGTACAGCTGCCCATAGAACCTCTCAATCTCACTCAAAATCTCAGGTGCCCCGGAAACGATGCTGCCACACTCGGTCTTCAGCTTTGACAGTTGGCTCTTTCTGGCAGAGAGATCTCTGGCAAATACTTTGGAGCCTTGGTTCCGCTCGATCGCTTCTTCAATACAAGCTGTATTGAAGTTGCGTAAGTCCCGCCGCATGCATTTGAAGATCTGTCTGTTCAGTTGCCTGTATGCTGTCAAATCTGTTGAAGAGTGTAGCTTCATCTCCCGTCTAACAGCCATGAGATTAAGAGTGTGATCGGAGAGTTTTTGTGTTCTTCTGCGGCGGGCGCTTGAAGAACTTAGCTCCAACCGCATGGACAGATTCCACGAGCTTGTCATTCATATCGACCAATTCATTGCAGTCTTCTAGGCACTGAAAACGGTTTTGTAACTCGAGCTGAAAGGTTTCGGGACTTTGGAACAGAGCACGAGGGGGACGGAGCGTTGACTTCATTAGACGAGACCTCTCCAACTTAACGTTTAGGTTCAGTGTGCTTCTAATCATTCGGTGATCGCTACCAGTTTTCACCCTCGCGATCACGGAGACATCACTAAACAGTTGTCGTCTGGTCGTCATAATGAAGTCAATCTCATTTTTTGTCGAACCGTCGGGGCTCGACCAGATCCACTTCCTGTGAGGCCGCTTCTGTAAGAAAGAGTTCATCATAAAGAGTCCCTCTTTCTCCATGAAATCGGCCAGCTGCTGGCCCCTTGGGTTCCGTTGCCCTATTCCAAATTTCCCTACTTTCAGCTCACCGTTCTCTCTTTTGCCTAGTTTTGCATTGAAGTCTCCCATTAACACTGTATATTGGGTTTTGGAGGAATGCATGGCTCTAGAGATATCCTCATACATTTCCTCCACCTCCTCATCGGGGTGTGCCGAGGTTGGTGCGTAAACCTGTATGACCTTCAGCGAATAACCTTTGGTGATTCTGAGTATAAGTTACGCAACTCTCGTCGACACACCCTCAATCTTTACAACGTTGTTAACGAGAGACTTGTGGACGATAAATCCGACACCTCCTTGGGACAGATGGTCCTCCCGGTGATAGAACAAGTGAGTGCTCTGAGGAATTGTTCCGTTTAATTCCAGCCGCCAAATTTCACGAACGCACATCGCGTCAAAATTCACGATACCATCCTCACCATCTGTATGTTTGACGGGCCACCACTGTGCGTTTTACTAGGAGTTTTCTTCCTAGTACAACTTCTCTGTGGAATTGTTAACCACCGGCGATTTTTCCGGACCGATACGACTTAGGGACCTTCAAGAAAAGAGCTCACTCCTTTCTTAAAGGCTGGCAACGCACCTGCAATTCCCCTGGTGTTGCGGTTGTTTATGGGTGGCAGTAGTCACTTACCATCACATGACCCGCATGCTCGTTTGCCCCCTTTTCTATAAGCAAACGTACGACGAGAAAACCCAAAAATCTAAGTGCTTGATTGAGGGCTGAATACGACTATCAGGGTGGTTTCTAGAGCACTCATTATACCCAAATTAATCCAATAACGGTACTTGGCACGACCTGGGACACGATTTAAACCCAGGACCAAATCATAATTCACAGTCACGCTAGTAACCACATACAAACAGACAAAATTATATAATTTCATGATATGTATTTAGTAAAAATCTGTTATTTTGACGTTACGAACAGACACTTCAATTTTATTTATTTTAATAGTTTCGTATGCGTAAAGTATGAAAGTTTGTAAAAAATTCGAAAGTGATTACTATATTATTTTGATCTTGAGGCGTTAGAAAACTTGGCTGCACTTTTAATAATTCGCTTTTATAATTCAATACATGTTCGTAGATATATCTGTGATGATGTAGTTAATTGAGAGTTATTAATAATTACTTTAAATAAAAGACAGGATTTTTTAGTGTATGTATTTGGTTACAGTCGACAGCAAAGTATAGCCGAATTTAATCATAATGATTTGTTAGATTCAAATTATTTTTCTTTATTAATTTCAGTATAAGTTAATTTAATTTCATCTATGTGGTTACCTTGCACTCTATTTAGAAAAACTAATATTTTTAGTAGCATCTTGCACGTACACAACATGATAAGATTTGCTCCAATTTCGCTTTAATGAGATGTGAAAAATGGTAATTTCTTTTGTTAGAATTCTCTGAACATAACAAACAATTTTTTGTCGTGTTTAGACATGACTTCTAGTTAAACTTTACACCTCAGAAGTGGTCATTATTAATTTTGCAAAGACTGAGATAGAGGTTGGTCGTAATTACGAGCTTCAGAATTAAAAAAAAAATCTGTTAATCTGCCTCACTTTAGTCCTAAAAAGAACAAAAATACTATAACATATAATTTCATAAACTTTTAAAAATATTGTGTTCTGTTAAGAAAGTTCATCATTTATTGCGATATATTACTAAAACTAATGACATTGAAATAAAGATGCTAGCGTAATTTTAATAGAATACGTTAAATATAATTAAAATCAATTTAAATATATAACGTCAAATTAAACTTGATATCAAAACTTAATTTTAAAGTGAAGATAACGCATAATTAATTGAAACAGAACTTACATCTGTTATTTATAATACGATCGTTGCGGAAAGATGAAAAAATATGAGGGAGTTACGTCACAAGGCAGTCGCGTTGATGCAATGAATATATCGTGCATGTGTCTAAAAACCTCGGGAATTAAACAGTGGCAGCCGTACAATGATGGGTGCAAGCGGGGTAAGAGAGAGGGGGATATTACAAAACTTAGTTTTAACCGGTTAATTATTACGACCTAAACCGAAATTTGTGAAAAACCGGTATTCCGCAAAAACCGGTTTTGGGGTCAATGACCTAAACCGGTTTAGAATTTCAACCGGTTTCCGAGCCCTGGTTGGCAGTAATTGTAAGGTTGCCATAAAAAAATATAAATATAACACTGGAGAAAAAAGTGTTTTTGGTGTTTTGTCTTCAACTTCAATCTGTGGTCTGTGCTATTTAGTATTTACCACAGTATTTACGGTATTTACTGTTTACTGGTATTTACTTTCCACACGCGTGAGTGTTTCTATAATATAGTTTTAGTTTGTGCTTTCCACGAAGTACATACTGATATCATTGTATGTACATAGTTCTTAAATCATGTTAAATTAGACGTACTTTGATCCATGATATAATTTCACAAGTTTTTAGTGTGTAGTCAATAAATGATCTAAAATTTTACTGATAACAGAAGGATTGTGACAACTGTTTTGTTTGCAGTGGTAGTAGTTACGTTGAGCCATGGAGTCGGAACATCAACCAAAATTAAGCCCTGTTAGGGCTTTTCAAGGTTTGACCTAGATTACTAATAGTAAATATTTTTTTTACTATCTATATGGTTCTTAAAAGTTATTAATTTACTTAAATAATCTTTATCATATATTATTTTTATCGCGTATTATCTCCATAAAATAGAGAGAGGGCCATGTCCAGCAGTGAACTTTTACGCACTGTTATGAAGATGAGGATTTTTAACAAAATGCAGTATTGCTCCATACGCATCATCATTAAGACTTACTTTATAAGGTTTTAATGGAATCAACCATAAACAGTTTATTGGTGTCATAGGGTTAAAAGAATTGCCATGCATCCCATGAAAAATGGCAATCATAGTAACAGTTATTCTAGATCTTTAATGGTGCTCACTATGGTCAGTCTTGGTATTTTATAGAATAGGAATTTCTCTATCTCTCAGAGGCCACCTGGTTGTAAAAATTCCCCTTGTGGACTTTTAGAATATCAAAAGATGGAAGATGAATACACTAACTGCCTAATAAACATTTATAATTTGAAATATCCTTAAGTGATATAAGTAATTATTAATACAAACACTAATACAAATTAATTTCTGTAATAAACAGCTGAATTAATTTTATTATTATTTATATATGGTATGTAAATGGAAAGTAAGGACTGTTTCTCTTTATGTAGTTCTTCATGGCGGCAGTGTGGAACCAGAGGAAACTTACACTAGTCTTTCAGAGTACCATGACTATGAGCCATGCTTAGAATTCGATGATTCTGAATTAATTCAAACTGCAGGTTTAGGTAAGATATTATATATTTATTACTTGATATCATTATTTTTATAAGGTTAGTTTTACACATTTACTTTGTAAGTAAATAATCTTAAAGTTGGTAAAAAATTACTTTGTGTACATTGGCTAAGTAATTTTTTACCACCTTTAATATAATGGACTTCCACAAAGTAATGCCTGATTCTATTAATTATAGTAAATAATCATTCACCAATGTCAGTTGAAAGCTACTATTTTTCAAAAGCATTAAATTAGAGAGCAGCTTGATAGAATAGATTATTTACAACTTTATTAAATAAGTGGTATGTGTCTTTAACAAATTGTTAATATATAGGTAGTAAGTAAGTATTCAAATATTGTTCTAAAAAACAATTAACATTTTAGCTGCTGATTGACCTGACTCACTAATTTTGGTAATTTATTTCTTGGATACCAACTTAAAAAAATAAGGAGGTACTCGTTTTTTTTTGTGTCAGCATATATACAGGTATAATAAGATCAGTAACACTGTGACCAGTATAATCTATTGTGATTGGCTGTGAGCTTGTTCACATATTCTGTGTTAGTGCATATTTTCCCAGATTAATCTAACCTTTGCATATTAGGGGTCCACAATCAATTAAGATGTGAAGAGGTGTTTTTTCCATTAAGTGGTAGAATCTGCACATTAATGGGTTATCTAGTTCCATTATAGCCATGTGCTTTTTAAAACAGTAATGTACAGACAAGGCTCTTGCGAAAATATGCAGTTTTTAACAGTGGTAGAGCCACGCGGCAGCTTTTGCTGTCGCACGGATGGGCCGGCTCGAACCGGGGTAGTACCACGACCTCACAGAAAACCAGCGTGAAGTAGAGGTTTATCTCTACGTTTCGCTTGGTGAGTGCAGGTGGCCGGAGGCCCTTTTTACTGGACATGAGGCATTCCATCTTAGTCCTCACGGGTGACAACGCATCTACATTCTGATTTGTAACAGATGATAGATGTAGATGTCTATGGGCCGCAGCAACCACTTACCATCAGGTGGACTGCGTGCTCGTTTGTCACCCTTATACTATAAAAAAAAAAGTTTGTTCTTAATTTAAACTTAATCCCAGGACTTCTGAAGTGAAATTACTTTTGATTTAGGTTTTGGAAAGTTTCAAAATGTGCTGTATCATACCAGATCTTATGTGATATTTATGGTAAAGTATTTCAAGAGTCAGTCGGGCCAGACTTTTTGAAGAACTCTGACTCCTCCCATGCAAACTTGTCAGTTTACTAATTTCCTACAATACTTGTATGTAATGATTTCTTATGTTTACGTGAACACTACACATTTAAATAAAATTATTTCACAGATTTTATTGCATATATTAATTTATTTTATATACTTAACGTTTTGATCACTTTACAGCACCCACGGTTACTGGGAGGGCTGAGGTGTTTGATGTCCCAATGTCATAGTTAATCACGGCTACCTTCAGATTAAAATTATAAATTTTTGGTCTAATCTACGCAGTATGAACTTATAGTATCTTGAAGTCTTGCAGTTGTGTGCTTGGGTTTGGGATTTAATTTTATTAATTATAAGATCTCAAGCAGATGGTAGCACCCAGCCATCTCTATTGAAATTAGGATGTTTTTCGATTTCAATAGCCTCTTGAATCATCCTTGGAATTAATCAGTGTTTTTTAGCAGAGATCCTGAACCTGTTCACAGACTGCAGACTTCCCAGAGCGTTGATTCTTCACATCAGCTATGTGTTCTGTAATGCGTAACCCGCATTAAATAAATATAATTATATATATATATATATATATATATATTTGGTTGATCTAGTATTTTTACAGATTGATTTCCGCAGAATGTAATTTGCCATAAATTTACTTCTGGAAAATAATACTAATTTCCTGAAATTTATACTAAGCTCGAATTTGGGTAGTGTCCCGTTAATTCGAAAATCTATGTCAAATCCCATTTTCGACCCATTGGTAAACCATATATGACTGCCGACTAAACAGATGATGTGTCCGTTAAATCAGTCTTCTCTGATTTTTATATATACATTTATTAAAAGTGTATAGTGGATGCATAATATCTAAGATTATGTATAAAGTTGGTGTTTCATTCATTGAGTCAAGCAGGGATCGCAATTTGTAGGACAACTAGCCCAAACCGCCTGCGCATTGATCCTATACGAACTAGCCTTCGTCTCCTTGTTTTCATTGAGATAATAGAGCGTTGGCATAAAAGTGCATTAATAGCCACTCTAGGTGAGGTTCGTACCTCTCTAGTTGCCAATAAACAGGCAGTCTTTTGTAGGCTATTAAACTTGTTTGCAGTTGCCTTTTGGTTGGCCTGAATACACCATACAAAATAAGCGTAGGTTTCTATCAACCGCACTAAGCTGCCGTACTGCCACAGGATCGTCCCGAGAAGTTTTTCCCAACCATACAACTGCACGTACCTAGAGCAATTTTAGCCTTGTGACATAAGCTGCTCAGGTAAGACAAGTCCACATTAGTTCTGTTTGTTCTATTGGTTGGTATTTTTCAGTGATTGTAATGCATTGTTCCGAACATGAGGCAAATAACACTTGAGACTTGGTCTTATAAGTTGATAATTATTGATCTCCTTTACATAATGATGTTATGTCTGATTCTGTCCATTTTTTTGGTATCTTTCTAGACTGTATTATTTTATTGAAAGGTGTTCCGAGAATTCCAAAATAACAAAACCACAACATACCTACAAAGATGACATATACTGGACCTAGATCAGACAGACTGAGAATAGCTCTTATCATGCTTTGTGTTGATTTTGGATCAATAGAGCCACATTGTTAAAATTACCTACTGCACCACATATGATTATGGCTAGATAAGCCAATTGCAGATCTTAAACTTTTGAGTTTCTATCTTCTTAATAACCTCAGCTAGAGAAAATCTTTGTACAGTATTATATGATTGGTTTTATAGAAATTTGTTGCTGTCTCTATTATCTTAGGTGTTGATTAAGTTTCGTTTCCAGATGATTTTTCTTTTAGTTTTGGAATCCAAGTTTTGAATGAGTTCAGCTTTTTGTACCCTTTTTTGAATAATTTTTATTCAATATAGATTATTACGTAATACTTATTAAAAGTCATTTTTTTATTTACCACTTACCACAATAGATCTATTATACTTAAAAATATAAGTATGTTCCCTTTATTTTAATAATTTCATATCTACATTCAGTTTTGATATGTCATTTGTCAGTTATAGATAACAACTTTGATGGTAATTTGGATGACCTTAAAAGTTCAAATGGCAAACATTACCTAGGTATGTTTTACTTTTCACATGATCTGTTTTAGTCACAGTATTATAATATAGAAAAAGACATCATTTCCTTTACGGTTAGTAAACAAGCACTTAATTTGCAATCAGTAATTCCAACGGAACTCAGGTTGCCCCAAGCTTAAAGATTTAAGACAAGCAATATCCTGTAGTAGTACATAAAATTATACTATTTATATCTCAAAAAAGATTTAAAACCATTAAAGGGTTGTTGTTATGACTCAACAATAGGAGATACTATAAATGTCATTTCAATTTCCTGTCACTGCAATACGTGCCTGGGTAGCAATTGGAGAGCTTTATTATGCAATCAAAACCAAATGAATCTTGCTGTATTGACATTACGATACCAGTAGAGCTATTTTTGGTAACATAGTACATTTGTTTTGTGAATCGCATAAACATTTGGATAAGACAGTGCTACATCCGTTCATATAAGAAAAAATAAACTAAAGGATATTAAAAGAAAATCAGTGATTTAGAATTTTTGTCTGCTTGTCACACTCTACTCAACAAACTGTCTGAATTACAGCTAGATAGAAATTCTCAGTGATCTACCCTAGTGTACTCGCCAGATTTTGCTACTATTAATTTCTATTTTTAGCCAACTAGTTCCATCTAAAGTTGAAGAAAATATTCCAACCTTAAGGCTGCGTTTCCATCAGAGATATGCGAGGTAGCTGGGCGGTGCGAGGATGCGTAAGGAGTCTGTGGGACGATGTGTGCGTTACCACCAGAGATGTGCTAGGCCGCTGAGCGGTGCGAGGATGTGTAGTGGGCTCGTTTCAGATGCGAGCGGGATGAGATATAGTGGGAGCTAAGCGCGCCCGCCACTGCCCGCTACTTCTTGCGTCCTTCCTAGCACACATCCCTCGCATATATTCCCTTGTTTTGTATACACAAAAACCTCGTTCCGCTGAGCCGTTTTCACCATAGCTGCGCTGAGCGAGGCTAGATAAATTTCTAAAGATTCTATTGATAAACGCAACTTAAGGGCGGAAAAATAGGGAATTAAATTTTTATTGTAACTATTTTGAGGACATTGTAATTGTTGACCTTGAGCTTGTGATACTGCTTAGTTCACTCAAAAGGGTCAAGTAATTAATTATTTAGGTGTTCGAGCCTAAAGGCTTGATCCACCTTGAGACTACGCATGTACATTCTGGCGTTATAACAGCGTGAAGTTAGCTCTTTTCGATAGTAGCGCCCTCTGTCGCAAGTGTGAAGTGTATCAACTTCACTCTAATGGAGGGGACTCATTCAGCGCGGGCGGTGTATTGGTTAGTACGCTTTTGCATTCTGACAAGTCAACACGTATACAAAAGCTGATATTTTTCTCTAGGTAAGTAATATTTTTAACAATCAGTTTCAACTATAATATTACAACATTCCGTCGTACAGAAAGTCGTAGTGCGCCCTTGAGCCACGAAATGCAGTGCGCCCTTGTGCCACGTGCGTGGGTTGACGACTAACCTCAAATCAAATACCGTGCGTCGCAGTACCACGGTACGACGTCGTATCACTGATACGTTAGACAAACGAAATATCAATTCGATTAATTCCATACGACCGTAATACGACACCCGATACGTCGTATCATCTTTGATACTACAAACCCCTCGGCGACACCGAAACGTAGTTGATTCGACACTAGTCTCATACGACAACCGGCTGGTACGACATAAGCCGCAT